AACAAGCCGACATATTAGGGGAACATTTCTACATTTCCAGTTCAGGCCAACTACACTGATACTTTCTTCAAACACAAAAAAACTGCCGAGAAGCAGAAACTACCGCTCACAGGTGCTTCACACGAAGCTTACAACCAACACCTAACTCTACAGGAAGTAAACAAGGTGCTCTCACATGGTATAAAAACGGCAGTAGGCCCCAACCACATACACTACTCTATGCTGGCACACCTGTCCTGAATCATCTACAAAAGTTTTACAACATGGTATGGCAGTCTGGATTTATGCCAGGGCAATGGAAAACTGCCATAGCAGTCCCATTTCTGAAAGCTGGAAAACTCCCAACATCCCCTAGCAGCTACAGACCAATCGCTCTTGCCAGCTGCCTGGCGAGAACTTAAGAAAGTATCATAGATTGCAGACTATCATTTATTCTCTACTCCAGAAATTTGATAGATAATCATCAGTGCGGATATAAAAAAGGTTGCTTAACCACTGACCATCTTGTTCGTCTGGAGCATGAAATACGAGAGGCTTTTCGTCACAAGCAGCACTGTCTTGCGTTTATTTTTTTCGACCTGTAAAAGGCCTACAATATCACGTGGCGACACGGAATTCTGCAAGACCTCGTTAATCTAGGCATTCGAGACAAAATGCTAAAATGTTTGTCCGATTTCTTGACTAACAGAACATTTCAGGTGGGGTTAGGCACTGTACTTTCACGCACATTTATCCAGAAAAACTGCGTACCTCAAGGCTGCGTCCTTAGCACTATTCTTTTCATAGTAAAAATGAATTGAATTAATACAAAAATACCACCCACAATCATGCATTCTCTATATGTTGACGATCTTCAAATCGCTTCTCGTGCTTCTAACCTATCAACATGTGAGAGGCAACTTCAAGTTACCATAAACAAACTAACACATTGGGCTGACAGAAATGGCTTCCGATTTTCTACACAAAAAACGATTGCTGTGGTATATACAACAAAAAGAGGATTATTTGCCAGTCCCAGAGCTTACATTAAACAACACGGTGATGTTGATAAAGCTTGAACAAAAATTCCTAGGGGTTACATTTGACAGTAAACTGAACTTTATTGCCCATATTAATGTACTCAAAAGCAAGGCCAATAAAGTGCCTAATATTTTAAAGGTTTTATCCCATAAGCATTGGGGTTCTGATCGATTATGCCTATTGAAGGTTTATCGTTCTATTGTGCGTAGCATTTTAGTCTATGGGTGCATTGTTTACGGCTCGGCCAGAGAATCCTACATTCGCCGTCTAGACCCCGTACACACTCTCGATCTGCGTTTATCAAATGGTGCCTATAGAACATCCCCAGTCCAGAGTTTGTACGTAGATTGCAATGAACCTCCACTATGCCAGCGCCGCATATTTTCAACCCTCTCTGTTTTAAGGACTAGGTCACTGTCTCAACAATATGCCACTCATGCTAACACTACTCAAACAGGCCACACCTCATCAAACCATTGATTTTGGGCTTTGAAGAGCATTGGCGCATCTACAATATTTGTAATGACACACTGAAGGTCTCCATCAAACCACCGAGACTGCTGCCATGGGCTGACCTGGCGCAACTGTGCGATTTTTCACTGACCCGATTTAAGAAAAATGACACCGACCCACAACACTTAATTCAAGAATAAATAATTCCGGACAATCCAGGACAGATACAAAGGTTATACCGAAATTTACACAGATGGCTCGAAAACAAAACACCATGTTGGCATTGGGATTGTGGCAGAAGAAAGCGCTGTCAGTGTTAGACTACCAGAGTGCATGTCCATTTTCAGCGCTGAAATGTACGCCTTATGGGAAGCAGTAAAAAAAGTCATCAGAGGAATACAGACAAGCAATCATATACACTGACTTACTTAGTTCAATAGAGGCGCTATATTTAAAATCTGAGTGAACCTTTACTAGGTGATATCCTGCATATAGTTGTTTCAAATAATGAGAATATGACTCAGTTTCTGTTCCGTTCCAAGCCACATAGGGATACCAGGCAACGAAAAGGCAGACGAATGTGCATTTTTAGCAGCACAGACATCAGTTAAACAAACAAAGATTCCCCTTAGAGATAGCCTAGGTACTATGTGTGAGCCTTATCATCAAAATGGCAGCAACAATGAGGCTCCTGCACGAGTAATAAACTGCATTTGTCGAAGCCCACAGTGGGTGAAGGAAAGTCATGCTCTCACCAAGAACGGTTCATTGAGGTCATCCTATGCCGACTTCGCATTGGGCACGCTCACCTCACTCACGACTTTTTGCTTAGAAGAGAAGATTTGCCGGAATAAGGAAAAAGTCAACAGCCATTACCGGTTTTACACATTGTAATCACGTGTCCATACATTGAAACAGAAAGACGAAAGCATTTCAGATCACTATACAAACACCACACACCGATGTACCCGAATCAAACTTTAGGAGATCATTCACTTGTTCTACTGTCTAACGTTATCAGCTTCCTAAAAGAAAGTGGATTCCTCTATAAGCTTTAGAATTAAGATGTATACACTGGTTATCACTAGGTACCTTGTGTTTGGCGCAGCTCAGCCTAAGTCGCTCTTGCGCCAATAAACCCAATATAACTAACATAGTGATAGTACTTCACTTTATGGCAAGATGGCACGAGCCGCCGCCCGATCTAAAGGGCACAGCCGGATACATCCATCCATCCTTGCCCAACTGTGTGCCCGGATTTCGGAATGCAGTTTCAAAACTTGTATAATTGAATAACTCTGGATCAAGCATCATAGCCATATGGAGAAGTTACAGTTTGCACTCTGGGGTGGATTTGGAACATTCAGAAAAGAACGAGCCCAGAACTGCGAAAACGAAAGCAGGAGCATCAGCTTTTTGTTGAGAAATCTATATCTGGTCGGGGACATCTTAGTGGTGTCATCATTGGCAAGCATTAAAACTATGAGCATTGGGTCTTTAAAAGAAATAGAGCCAGGTTGGAGGACATGCGAAAAGCTGTCCAGTTCACATATTTTCACATGGCATGGAAGGACACCAATCAATCCCACGGCCTTTGCTTGAAGGGCACTGAAACTTGGTGTAAATTCAACAAAGCCCAGATGAATGGTGAATCATTCGTTTATAAAGAAACCTTTCGGTATCAGTTATTGAGGCTGTTAAGCCAAATTATCTCGAACTAGCTCATCCAGAATTACTTGCTAAATGTCTCCTTGGGAAAACGCAAAACCATAACAAGTCGTTGGTTGGCGTGTGGGAGCATGCTCTAAAGAAAAAAAAAAAACATTTTCCTTGGACACCAAGCACTGTTGATGCTGTGTTCATTTTTAAATTATGTTAATGTAGCCCTTGTGAATGTGATGGAACTATTTTGGAATTTTGCAAGGCCACTTCACACTGTAGGGCTGAGGCACCCTTGAACTACATCGCCAGTATTGTGCTGACACGGCTTCGCAGCAGGCTACAAATTAGGCTTGCCAGGCAAGACGTTTCAACACAATAAAAAAAATTATATTGGTGATGAGTATCCGGTTAGTGCCTATTGAACGGGTCCGTCAATTTGCTGTTATCTTGTTGTAGTTTAGAAATAATGCATATTTTCATCTTGAAATGTTATTTGATCTCAAAACATGCTTTTTTTTGTACTTATGTTCCTTTTACTCAGCAACCACAGTATATAGAATCATGGATTTCAGCCAGTATTTTGGTAACGTGATAGGCAATATGTTGAAGCAGAATTATTGTTGTGTGGGGAAGTGCTCTTCTTCAACATGACATTTAATAGCTATTACTGAGTTATAATTAGGTACCGGAAGTAAAAAAATACAAAAATTTAGTGTTACAATTTACAGTGATAAATCTGCTGATCACAATGATGGTAAAATAATTACTGTAGCTTTTATAGTTATGGAGAAAAAGGTACAGAAACTTTGCGTAAAATACATGGCGGGCTTACCCTGTTACCTTAAGGCACCTGCGTCATGGAAATTGTTGTGTTATGCACTCGTACACTTGTATATGCAATTCCTCCTTGCTGGCAGTATGCACATATCTGAGGTGTCACAAGAGTTCTGCATGTGACAAATTGCTTGGTAATTTCGTGTGGTAAAATTGTTCCCAAAATATTTGCAGCCATTATAATGTCATCAGGGATTCTCTGTTGCATGGTATTCCAAAAGGACTTGTTTTTGGGCTAGTTGGTGCATACTTGGTGCAGTAGACTGAGGCGCAAAAAAACATAACGGGAAGCAGGAAGAGCAGGAGAGAACTACCATGGCGCTGTTCTGTCTTCTCTCCTGTTCTTCCTGCTTCACGTTATGTTTTTTGCGCCTCAGTCTTCTGCATCTGTTGCATGGGTTTGGCAGGCAAAATTATTCAGGATAGGTTGAAGCACTTTATGTGCAACCTTTTAGGTATGGTAATAATGTCAGGATAAACATAACACTAGGCTCGGTAATCTTTAAACCAATGTTTGGCCGAAGTGGTACTTCTCTGTGTGCTTGTAATGTTACTTTAGATCGTTCAAATAAGCTTTAAAATGGTAAACACTACCATATCTAGTACAAGTGTTTCTTGTGATCTGATTGGAGTATATTTTGATTTTTGGTTGCTCTGTGGAGGTGCGTATACAATTGTTTTAACTGCCGGTTGGTTGTAGGTGAGCTTCTTCAAACAATCTTTCAGTGATCTCTGCACAGTGTGGATAAATATTACTTGATGTGATATACAGAACTGTGACTTTTGTTGAAAAATTTCAAATGTCGGATTATTTAAACACTTTTATCACTACCTGCTTTTATGTATGGAACCTTTACGTCTAGTGAAAAGAAAGCGTGGTATAGTGCATGCGACGTGCCAGCAGCTGAACTATGGAATTGGAGGAAATGATTGCCTGACTGATAATTGGGTTTTGTTTGACAATTGTTAATGGTCTTGTTGTTCCTGCTCATTGGTGTTGTGCGTCTCTCACCTTTGCTTGTACTTCTCAGGCTTCACAAGGGCATCAATATGGATAATCCAAGCCGAAATGCAGCGTCAAGTCCTGCACGCAACCATTTTGACGCTGCGGCCCTTTTAGGTGAGCGATTATTGACATTGAAAATGGCTTTTGCTCAATTTTTTTAATAATTTACCTAATGTAGATTGGAAAAAAATTTGCCCTGAAGCAGTGCGACCCTTTGGGTGAAGCTATGCTTGATATTTGCTACAGTTTTGACCTCCTTCAAAAGTTGAGGCTATACAAGAATTCAAGGGACTGCTCAGTTAACCCTTGACCTTTTCTTCGTTAACCAGGCAATTACACCTAAAGCAACGACTTAGATATATCCTGGAATGTCCAATCATCATGCAGGCTATATACTCTATGTGGCACAGTTTTCGATAAAACATTACCTTGTTTATTTTTCCCTAATTTCGATCGTGCAGATGGTACTGCTATTATAGATCTCCTTTCATTCATCTTTGATAACTTTGCAAATAATGAAACTGATATACATAATTTATGGAACTGGTTTAAGGACATTGTCAAAGAATGTATTGAATCATTTGTGCCTCTGGTAATTAAGAATCAAAGCAAAAAATCCGTGGATTTCTCGGGTAACACTGAGGTTAAGAAGGCAATTAAAGCGTTTAAAGAAAAGAACGAAATCTAAACGTAGCGTATTCAGAATGAATTGCCAAGCTTTCAGTAAAACTGAAAAATCAAATTAAAACAGATAAGCAGCATTATTTTGGGGAATCCTTGCCCGATTTACTTGACCTTGTATCCCGAGAAATTTTAGAGGATCATTTTGCCCGCGTTGAAAGAGTGTGACGTCTTTGATGTCGGTGGTGTTCTCACGCACGATAATGCTCGAATTGCAACTGCTTTCAACGGTCAATTCAAGTAGTTTTTTTTTGTGACACCTCTGTATTATTGATCTTTGAAACTGTTTCGTCGCGAATGCCCCATATTGTTGTTAGTGAACAGGGCATATTGAACATGCTTGTGAACCTTAATATCAGAAAGTCGCTGGACCGGACAATATCCCCAACACATTCTTAAAGAGATACGCTGAATGGATGTGGAAACACCTTCATGTTCTTTTACAGAATCGGGCCAGGTTCCAGACGACTAGAAAACAGCTAGAGTCAAGCCTATTCATAAATCAGGCAACAAGCAGAGTGTCAAAAATTATCGCCCCGTCTCGCTAATTTTAACCATTTGTAAGCTTCTGGAACACATTATCCACAATAGTATTTCATGTTTTCTGGACGAACATAATATCTTACTAAGCCAACATCAGCATGGATTCAGGAAGGGATATTCAACAACGACACAATTGGTGTCAACAATACACGACTTCGCTACTTCAATTAATAATGGAAAACAAACGGATGCAATTTTTATGGATTTTTCAAGAGCTTTTGACAAGGTTTTGCACACTAAATTAATATACAAATTAGAAAAAATTCTCGGGAATGATCAATTCATTAAATGGATATCGGCCTACTTGAAAAACAGAGAACAATTTGTAGTTTTTAACAATCATTCCTCTCACAGGGTTTCCGTTGACTTTGGCATCCCCCAAGGGTTCGTTCTGGGTCCCCTTCTATTTATTTTATATGTTAACAACATTGTGAATGGTGTCCCTGTAAATATTAGGCTCTACGTGGACGATTGCGTTATTTACTCTGAAATAGAATCCTCAAAGGACTAAGTTTTGTAAACGAGTCATTTAACAAGGTTGTTTCCTGGTGCGAGGCTTGGGAAATGTCAATCAGTTTTGAAAAAACAGCGTACATGTCCATTTCTCATGAGAAAAACAAATTAAGTTTTCAATACTTTACAATAGTGCCATTCTTTCAGAGGTTAAACTTTATTAAATTTTCAATACTTTACAATAGTGCCATTCTTTCAGAGGTTCAATCCTACAAGTATCTTGGGTTATGGATAACAAACAATCTTAACAGGACAAGACACATTTACATAGTAACTTCCTAAGCTAATCAGAAACTGTTCTTTTTACGAAGGACTTTGAAACTCTCCCCTCCATCTGTCCGTGTTCTTGCTTACAAATCGATAGTCCTCCCCATACTTGATTATGCTGCAGTGATCTGGGATCCACTTACTCAAATTAACATTCATAAAGTCGAAAAAGTACAAAGAATAGCCGTTCGCTTCATATATAACAGTTATGGACGAACCTCGCTAAGTGAACTGGTAGTCAGAGCTAACTTATCTTCACTTTCAGAAAGAAGCCACATATACCAATTAAAACCTCCTTCTTATATCAAATAATTAATAGGCATTACAAGATATATATTGGAAAAATTATTTCATTTTCTTCAGGTTATGCCACTAGACAACGCCATGATCGTACAATAACTTTCTCCCGTACCCGCAATAACTGCTTCAAATATTCTTTTTTCCCCAGAGCTGTGCAGGATTGGAATAGTTTAAATAACCATGACGTCACGCCACAATCTTTTACATTCTTTGCAGCTCTTCTGGATAAACAGAAAATCATTTTACTTGTGTGCTAGCTTTTTATTTTCTTAAAATGAGAGTGATGTGCCATCGGTAATATTTTGTTACGTTTGTTTACGTTGTAAAATGCAAGTGATAGTTATTTGTTTGCTTTACAAGATATATATTGGAAAAATTATTTCATTTTCTTCAGGTTATGCCACTAGACAACGCCATGATCGTACAATAACTTTCTCCCGTACCCGCAATAACTGCTTCGAATATTCTTTTTTCCCCAGAGCTGTGCAGGATTGGAATAGTTTAAATAACCATGACGGCACGCCACAATCTTTTACATTCTTTGCAGCTCTTCTGGATAAACAGAAAATCATTTTACTTGTGTGCTAGCTTTTTATTTTATTAAAATGAGAGTGATGTGCCATCGGTAATATTTTGTTACGTTTGTTTACGTTGTAAAATGCAAGTGATAGTTATTTGTTTGCTTGTGTTATATGACTGCCTACTATGTGAAATGTGATAGGCTGTTCCATCTGTTTGCCTGGTGTTATATGCTGATATTTACGTCTTTTGTACCCGCCAGCTAAAATCCCTCCAGGGTATTGCAGTGCCAATAAATAAATAAATAATCTCATCTTTCATTTTTGTAATAAACCTTTAGAACATTAGTGACAAGTGTGTTAAAAAGTCTTTTCATGGTGCAATTGTCTTACATTTATTTGGCCACTTGTTACATACACACCACATTAAGTTATACCTGGTCCTGTGGGGCTGTGAAGTGAACCTAGCAGCTTTCAAAAATTGAAAGACACTTATTTGACATTAAAGTGAAGCAGTGATACACTCACGCTGTAGCTTGAGTGATTGATTAGTCATTTTGCGTCGCAATCACTGTGAAACAGGTTAGTGCAATGTAGAACATGTTTCTTTTTATGTTGGCTTCATAATTGCGCGCATTTGCGGTTGAGTTAAACTAACACTTGCTGGGGCGGGAGAAGCTTGTCTGTTTACTGTTGATTATGCAGTCAGCCCCCCCCTTTTTTCCCGTCATCTCTGGTCTTGGTGTATGTGCGTGTAGGTTCCTTGAGCACCTAATAAGAACCTCACTCGCACTTAAGAGAGCTCTTTCAGTTTGTGCAGCACTAATTGTGATGTCTGTTTCCATAAATGGCTAGGCAAGCTTGTTACCGCGCAGATGACACTCATGGATGTGTCAAAAGCAATGCTTCTACTCTGCCCTCTTTATCTCTCCTTCCTGTATCAGCCATGAGTCCTCCTACGTTCCCCCCTTCCCTGGGCCCCTTTTCCCCATTCTTGCTAGCCAGGGGCACCACAGCTTTTCAGAGCCCCGCTGCTGCTTCCTCTTCCCCCAACCACCTCCTGGAAGGGGCCTCCGCTTGCCCCTCGCGTTCCACTCAGCCGCCGCCTGCGTCTTCCTCGCCTTCGCTTCCCTCAGGTTGGTTGGCCTCTTTCTCTCTCTGCAACTTCTCTCTTTTACTTACGTTCATTTGAAACCTGCGTTGCTCTGTCTCCATTTTTCCGGCCGCCTCTTCTCCTCCTTCTTAGCTGTCTGCTTCGTCTTGCAGTCTTCCATTTTTGCTGACTTTGCTCTATCAAAACAGGGTGTTCGAGCTCTTTTTTTCTTTTCTTCAGCCTTGCTATAGGCTAGTAATGAGCTGGTTTAAGAGCATTGGTTAATAAAGCATCTGCGTAGTGGTGCAAAGAATCGATGAATGTGTTGCCTTTTAAAATGCGGGACATGCCTATAGTCCTTGTGCAGCTCATATTAAAAAGAGAAAGCCGGTGGCCAAAAGAAATCCCTTCTGAAGGTATGGCTTTGACATCTGACTAGCTGGGCTAGATCAGTCTTTATGAAAAGTGTGTTTAGCATACGTAAACGTTTTCATTCTGTGAAAGAACTCTATTACACTAGCTTTAGAGCAATTTTTCGTATTTTGGTCATGTGTTTTTTTTTTGTGTGTGGTGTGACAGAATGCATACTGGCTGCTTCTGTCAGGTGCCACTGCTAGTGGTTTCCACGAATGATTTGGTTGATTTTTGCTTGTCATTTGGAATGATGTATATTCTTGAAAATTATACCTTAAGTACTGTTATGTAAAAGACTTTCATTTGAAATTCTCATTTCCCCTCTGTGAACTTGGCAAACACAAAGAACAAGAAAGAAGTTTTTGGCAGCTCTGGCAGATGAAGATGCAACAGGCAGGACTCGAGCATACGAGTGAGCAAAGCTGGCTTTTGCGGAGAATTCCATATGTCGTGTATGATTTGCAGGCATCATGGACCATCGTGATTGTCAGCAAGCTTTGTTGGTTTTTATTTGCCTAAGTACATGCAGGCATCTAGATAAATGTGCTTTGAGGGCTCACTGAGCCATCTTTCGCAGTGTTATTTCTGCATACATAAAAAAAAGTGTAGGTTGACTTGTTTGTATAAGTGGAATCTGATATTTGATATTAGTGGCTGTGATAACTGCTCCAGGAAGTTCTATAATCATTAGATGGCTAGGCCTTTCTGTTGAGATTTTTTTTTTTTATGGGACACCTATACTTGTTAGTTCTAAAAGAAAAAAAGCATGCCTACCCTCTTTTCTTTCTCCCTATCCTTTTTGGTCAACTGACCATGGGATTTTAACAAATTTTCAAGTTCACAGGTCAGCAAGTACGTTTTTTTAAAGCTGTAGTGTAACTCGAAATTGCCAGCATGTGTCAGTGGATACCGAAATAACTGAGCCTGCCTGGGCGTGGTGGCGGCGGTGTGTTCAGGGGCCTGGTGGTCCTCTGCTGACCAAGGGGGCATGACCCTAGCCAGCCTGCTGCGCCAGGGTACCTCCACCCCTAGCCTGGCCAGCAGCTCTAAGCTGGACCATGCCCTGAGGCAGCCCCAACCACAGACCAGCTCCTCATCACAGTCGCGCAGACGTGAGTCCACCAGAGGCCGAGCCATTGACCGTTTGCTAGCTCGCTTCCCCCTATACATATAACACACTTAGCATGTGCCTGTTATTCTGGCAACACAGCTCAACGTGGGAGTGCATGGTGACTGGGCAGTGCCGTAAACACAAGGTGGTGGGAATGCTATGAGCGTGGGAGAGTGTGTGGAGCTCTGCAGTCACTACTCCTTATGACGATTTCTTTGCTATGTCGAAGCCTGTACAGTGCGTCTGTAGGCAATTTGTGGTTTGCAGTTTTACACGAATGTTCCAAGCAGCTGCGCTGCAAAAAGGCGTGCCAAGTGACAGCAGAGCTCAGCAGCAGACAACATGGATTAGGAAAGGCTCTATGTTTACCGTGCTATATGTGTGGGGTGTGGCATCCAACCAGCATTGGCAGAGTGCAGCTGCCACATGCTCTCTATAACAGTGTACGACACTGTGGATACGGTTGCGCTTGCCACTCCGCTTTGTTCTTAACTTTATTGTGTGTGATGAGCGTGAGTTTGGCATTACTCGGGTATGCATAGGGTGACTGAGATTAAAACACACCTGTGCACACACACACCTTCTTTACTCTAAAGTCTTTTCTGGCGTAACTTCTTTTGTTGCATTTACTCTCTTCACAGTATGAGACTTCCATGCCTTCATAGCTCAGCAAACTGTGGGCAAAAGATTGATGTTGACTACGTTGACTACTTGGCTTGTGTTGCTCACAAACAATAGCAGCCATTCTTGAAAAAAAAAAAAAAGCTTATAGGCATGACAGTATAAACAGACAAAATTGCAGGAGGCTCACTCATAGCTGTGGTCGCCTGTGCAACTAAGGTTAGCAAACGGACATGCTGCCATGGTAATGGTTTGCATGCGTAAAGACATCACTCACCATGATAGACTGTGCATATGCATGAGTTTCAATAAATGAAACCTGTGTTTTTTAGGTTTGTTTAGCCACTGTCTCGGGCTTTGTTTAGACATAGCCTGCGACCAAGCCAAGGAAATGAGGGGATGACCTGTCAACCTAGACAGAAAAATTGGCATTTTGAGTTAGTTCTGACTTATACGATATGCACTCCGCAAATTGTTTGATATTGCTGTCGGTTGCCTTGGTTGCTGCAGCTAGTGTCTTAAAAGTAATTTTGCTGTGCTGAATTAGTGCAACTTCACTCACATAATACTTGCTGTACTATAACAAGGTATGGTCATTTTATCTAGTATGGTCACTTTATCACTGCGAGAAATAATCCAGCCTACTACTTGCCATTGTATTCTCTGCACCATCATGTTGTGTGTTGGAAGTCCAAGCTGATCTATCTAAGACGGCCATCATTTTTGTCATGCAGGCCACGTCGGCCACCTGCAGCTTGCACCATTAGTCAAAGTGCGCAGACCCGAACTATAGTGCTTAGAATATTCTTAAAAAATTCTATGCACCCATCCTACACTCGCGAGACGCGGTCGACCAAATAAAGTAACAATGCTGAGCACCCATCGGTCCGCTGACCGCACCGGATATCTATCAGCGGGACGACGGAGCTTCAAATCGAAAATGCCGCGGGAAATGTAACTTTTCTATCCTGAAAATAAGACTATGGCTTCTTAAGATTTAAAGCTGGAAGCGTATGCCGCGTTTTCTTTGCACGAACGAGCTCGACGTGCTGCGAACGCCAGTGTTGCCAGTGGCCACGTTGATTGTGTTAAGCAATGGCACATGAAACATTTTATTGTTGTCTTGAAGTTGCGTCATCTCTGCCACGGTCCTGGCGATAGATATGCGGTACCGTCACTATGGCAACAAGCACGGGCCGTTGTTACTTTACCTGGTCGAGTGCGCCTGCGAGGGAGCCGAAGCCGCACCTAACCCCATGGTGAAAAAAAAGGGGGGGGGGGGGAAGTGGTGTGATGGTGTAGCGATTAAAGCTTTTTTTTTTCTTTGGTTCTAATGCTGCTTGAGCCAACTTCACCGCAATACACTGGTGCCCTGCAGAAGAAAAGCGTATTGAGATTTAGAAGGGGCTGTTAGCGCTAGTTGGACACTGCACATTTTGCTCAGTTACTCATGTGTTTGTACAATGTACAAGTCTGAGTACCAGTGTAAACACTGATATCTAAATAAGCTACTGGCAATCATTTGAAGCAGTGTATGACATTTCTGCTTCCCTTAAAAAAAAAAAAGAAAAACGAAAGTGTGCACCAGTTTTTTTTTTTTACAGCGAAAGCTGTTGTGAGATCACAACTCGGGTCACGCGCAGTTGTCAGTGGCCGCCGGCGTCCGTAACCACATCGCAAGAAATTAGAAAAGAAACCTGTAGGGCTCAAACATGGGTCCGCTGGGTGCAAGCCCAGAATTCTACTACTGAGCCACGCCAGTGCTTGGGACTTATTGGCAAACTTGCCTTAGGCAGGCTTGATGTCGGGAAAGCAATTGCATTAACACAACTTATAAAGCATTTCAAAACAGCGAAAGAACAACCAGTCATCACGCAATGCGAATAGCGTAAGCTTGGGACTTATTGGCAAACTTGCCTTAGGCAGGCTTGATGTCGAGAAAGCAATTGCATTAACACAACTTATAAAGCATTTCAAAACAGCGAAAGAACAACCAGTCATCACGCAATGCGAATAGCGTAACAAGTGAGTCGTCCAACGCTCCAATTCATTACGAAAGCTTGTTCTTGTTCCCCTATTAACTGCAGCACATACGCACTTCAGCCATAATTCCTCATCTTGATGAGCCAATGCATGAACAATTGGCACCAAATTCCTTGCAAATGTTCAGAGGCTACAATGCTTCTCAGCAGAATGACGAGAAATAGCATAACGAATGCCAGCCTACTAGCCAAAAAATTTTATTATTAATGCCCTAGTGGGTATCAAACAAGTGTGCTTGCAGTAGTTACCCAGCTAGTGTTTTTAAAGGCTCTGAAAGGTTGCTGTTCTGCCTTTCGTTGTGACTGTGCTGCGCCTTCCGCACTGGCCTCGTGTTTTTTTTTTCTTCCCACCCCCTACTTCTCGGTTTTACGAATCTTCCAAATTTCAAGGTTGCGAGCTTGGCAGATTGAATTTGCAGAATTTGTCAAATGATTGACAGGCGCAGCAAATGCTAATATCGACTTTATCATTGTTTGCTCGGCGGGGTGGTTCAAAATACTACTTTCATTGAAATAGCAGTGCTCATCTTCTTCACACTGCACAATTTAGGTGATGTTGAATGGTTTGTACATATTTTTTTCTGTATATAAGCCTTATTTTTTATACTGCTTCAAATTTGGCATTTCATGATAAAATATGCATGTTTTTTTCCCCGTAACCTGCTCCAAAAGTAACATTTTGCTGCTCCAAAAATTGCTCCAAATTGTACTTCGGCTTTTGCGCACCTGAGCTACAGATTCAGTGAGGCAAACGGCCTTTTGTGTCAGCTTTTCAATTGAGCAGCCTGAATATGGATTGTTTTCCTTGCCTGTTATGTTCTACTTGTTCGTTTTGTAATGTTGAAGACCCCAACATAAGTTTTCCAGAGAGAAATATTCTGAAGTTGCCTTAGCTACCGTATATCGAGAATCTGGGAAATAGTAATGAATGTTGACGGTTTTACTAGCTTTCTTCACACATCTACACATGCTTGGGTTCTTGTGTTTATCAACTGAGTTGAGGCAACAGGTCACGAAATGTCATAATGTTAAATAATGACTTGAAAGACTTGTTTGCCGCAGGATCTGTGTAGGTCAGTTGATGCTAGCAGTGTGCGAACGTTGCGTCTCTTTAGGGATTAACTTGCTTTGTTGTGGATATGGCTAGTGAACTGTTATAACTTCACTGTATCCAGAGTTTAGAAAACGTGCAGTTTAAACACAGTCATCGTATCCCGTCCAGTACATGTATTAAACATTATACAAGGCATCTAATTGTTTGGCAAACTTGCAGTTTTGAAAAGAAATCTGAAGTTCTTGAAAGGACCAGTACCAAGGAAGTACCAAAAAAGTTGCATGTATGCAAAAAAAAAAAAAACTAACTAAGGGGACCTGGGATGCAAACGTTTATGGGCCTAATCTTCCTGCTGCTGACTTTCATGAAGAGTGGGGGGCAACGTTTTTAGAACCAGTACAGTTTCGCAGTTCTGCTCCCAAGCTGGCACATATGGTGCTGCTGTTGCATATTGCTTCACTTGGTGTGACCCTGTGATGTGATTGTGCGGGTTTGAAAAGCGTGCCACGCCATCAGCCTCAACCAAAGAGGACAATGAAGATGATGCTCGGTTGCGGCACGTGTGGGCGTAGACATTTTAAGCCTATAAGGTGCTTCCTCGGAGATTTAGGAGAGCCACGGGAGAAAAACAGCGAAGCCAGGCAGACGTGGCTGAGTCGGGACTGACTGAAAAATGTGGCCAGGGTGCGGGAGTGGCGGCCAGTAGAGCTCCTGCATTGCCCCGCCGTGGTGGTCTAGTGGCTAAGGTACTCGGCTGCTGACCCGCAGGTCGCGGGTTCGAATCCCGACTACGGCGGCTGCATTTCCGATGGAGGCGGAAATGTTGTAGGCCCATGTGCTCAGATTTGGGTGCACGTTAAAGAACCCCAGGTGGTCAAAATTTCCGGAGCCCTCCACTACGGCGTCTCTCATAATCATATCGTGGTTTTAGGACGTTAAACCCCACAAATCAAATCAGAGCTCCTGCATCAAGGTCCCAGTGGGCTCCCATCTAGACACAGAGCTTCTTGTCGCCTGATGTGGGCCAGGCTTCTTCTGGTCTTGGCCTTGGCCAAGAAACGTCCTTGGCTTCGTGTGAGAGCTGCGGCTGCCAAACGCTGAAAGGTCAGTGACCTTCCAACGTTTGGCAGCCGCAGCTCTCACCTTGACCAGCCCGACGCTTCCTTCCGGGTCATTCAACGATGTGAGCTCCTCAACCTATTTGCCAGACTTCCCCTGCTGCACGAGTGCGTCTTCGTCCCATCAGCTGCAAGGAACGCGTCCCGGTGTATGGTGATATGGGTT